CGTCTAGCAGGCACAACAGGCCATCAATTCAAACCCCCAGAAATGACAAGAACAGAAGTCCTTTTTTTTTGGTGATACTGGGGCTTGAACCTTGAGCCACTCCAGCAGGTGAGGGGGGAGGGAGGGAGGGAGTGTGTGTGTGTGTGTGTGTGTGTGGTTTTTTTTTTTTTTTTTTCTTTTCAAGATAGGGTCTATTTACCACATGATCCTCCTGTTCTCTGCCTCCCATTATGGGTTTGAGCCACTGGCACCTGGCTCAGAAGTCCTTTCTTTAAATAAGGCCATAACAATTAAAAAGTCAAATCAACTTGAAAACAGGATCCACCGGTCTGGTGGAGTGGCTCAAGTGGTAGAGTGCCTGCCTAAGAAGCGTGAGACCCTGAGTTTAAACCCCAGTACCTCCAAAAAAGACCAGATCACTAAAACAAAACTAAATCCATTTATGAGATGCTATACCAGTTAATACTGCCAAGAAATAAGATGCTACCAGCTTTGAAATTTACAAAGGTATAATCATTAGTTTCTTAGGAAACTATTCTATAAATACATGGCATACCTGAGTGAGAACAAATGAAGCAAAGAGCAATGAAACAATGAACGTGTAGTATCAAAAAAATTTTCGATTTTACGAACATTAGACCAAAATGCAGAAAACAGCTAGGTAGCCTAAGAGGTAAGCCAGACCAACTTCCCACAATAACATCATCTATGAATATAAAAATATTTGCTTACATGCAGTTATATGGAGAACTTGAAAAGATAGGTTTCTGAAATATTTTGCTGCTATTTCTAATCTTTAGGAAACATAATTCAGCTCTTCTCCTAACCACTTAACAAGACCATTTTATAATGCAGACCCTCTTTATACCTTGTTTCCAAACACCACAATATAAATGTTGACCAGCATCTTCCCTAAGAATCAGATATACAATAATAACCCTGATTGACAATGTTGTTTTTGTACTTATACCTCAAGAGCAATTTTGTTTACAAATCATCCTCTGTGGCAAGCAACTTCAGCATGAAGTTTACTCTAAGAAAATTATGAAAGACAAGCTCTAGCCAGAAGAAGGCATTAGGAAAACGTCAATGTATCTATCTTGTTCGGCTGAAAAGATTTTTAAGAAGTAAATAATCCAGTGAAGAAAGCTACGGTAGTCAGGGAAGAGTATCAAATCAGTAAAGACTCTGAGTTATGAGGCAGTATTGCATTTGAATACTGAACTGTACTTTTGTAGGAGCAACTTCTAGAAACCAAAAAGATTTCATCTGGAAAGAATTTATCATAAAAAGTCATCAATTTTGACTACCATGTGTATTTTACAGTATACTTCTAGTTCTTACCCATTTTCTAAAATTTTTAAAAAGCACTAAAATTTTAAGAAGTAGAGCATTCAAAATAGTTTTTCACAACAAAATTTATTAGAAGAATAGTGGTTTTGAAAGTCTAGCATCCAGTGAGAACTACCATACACAACAGTACAGCTGGGAATGTTTCTCCAAAATGTCATGGTCAAATAATACAATGGAACCATTAAATCTTACACATGCACGAAAGAACTAGTGCTTTTGACATACAATGCAAAAAAAGGGGGGAGGGATCACATGATTAAAATTTTAAGTACTCATCACATACATTAAGACACAGCTTATTTTTAGTCCAGTCAAAAATCAGAACTGTATTAAAAATTTCATGTAGTGCAATCAAACCAAAAAAGTTAATTTGTGATCATAAGTGCTCTACTACATAAACATTGATCATAGCAAGGAACAAAAAGTTCAAATCACACAGTACAAAAAATCTGTAAATAAATATAAACTACAGTACAAGAGAAATATTAAATTATACAATTCCGTCAAACTGTAAACAGTATATTGAAATGAGGTCCATAAGAGTAAAGGAGGTTCCTGTTTTGTTGCATGACACTTGAACTTCTAGAAATCTGATTTCTTTATCTTCAAAGGCTATGAGTTTTATATATGGAGAGAATTTCTGTTGGATGTAAGATATCAAGTATTAAAGCAGAGGGATAACCATTTTGTTAACCACAGGTAGTACTGCAGAAAACAAAGTTTTTAAGAGACAAGTCTTAACATCAGAAGAAACCTGTCACTAAGATCGTCAGAGACTTGTCTGCTAATATGCAGGTCTAGGCCTCTGCTAATTTTTTGACATTTTACATATTCATGTTAAAATACCAACTTTGGCAGAATCACTACTGATAAACTCAAAGCACTCCTGGCCCAATGGTTCCATCACAGTGGCCAGTGCACAGAATGCTCTAAAGACATTGCATAAACTAGAATGTAGAGGTCAGACACCCAAGGACCAGTGCTTGAATTTAGTAGTAGTTATGGTGAAGAAGCAAGAGCCACATCAAGGAGGAACTGCATCTGTTAAGGGCTTACAGAAGCAGTGAGGAATGTCTTGTTTCAATTGTGCTGGCTATTAGTGGCATTTAAAAATATATAGTTTAACTGTGTGTGTGTGTGTGTGTGTGCACGTGTGCGCACGAGTGCGTATATGTGGTGTGCTGGCTATACATTTATGCACAGTTTTTAAAAAAATACACTGTTAACAGGAACCCCCATATTATCTGCTCAGTAGTAATAACTGAATATATAGAATGCCACTATAAGAGTGTGAGGCACCGTGTGCTGGAGAGTTATATGCAGCTTTAAAATCTGTTTGGCTGAGTTATACCTGGATACCTGAACTGAGTTTCTTAAGTTGACATTCATCAAAGATGTGCTACCAGCACGTCGAAATAAAAGCAAAACAGAAAAATACAAGTCACTGTTAGGTTTAAGAATATCATCAAAGTACCTGAATTGAGTGAGAGAGTGTGTAAACTGTCCCTGAGGGTTTTTAAACAGTGTGTACAAGTTGGATCTCTAAGAACATTAGTTTTATTTAACAGTGTGGACTGATAAAATACCAACGTCTGACAGTTTAAAGCGGAGGTTATAAAGAATTATACGCAAACACTCCAAATGTATAGTTTATGCATTTTTTTCAAAGCAGCAGTAAGCTGCTGTAAAGATATATCCCATCAGAACAAGCAACACATGGGAGTCAGAGAAAGGTTTCTATCTTAGTCTGGTTTTCTGACAGCACAGCATATCAATATCCAATGACTATCTTTCCTAGATCAGAATGTAACTAATTTCGACTAGCAATATAGGATTAGACTTTTAATCAAACACTTTGCTATTACATACTAAAATTCCTTAAGCTTACTAATGCTGGTAATACTAACCTAGTTAATTATTCCCCTCCCCCCATTTTAGAAATATACCCTTCCACAACTTAAAAATGTTAAGATCCATTTCAGTCCTCTGATGTAAAAAGCATGTCAGTGAATTATTAAAAATTTACACAGTAAAAAGGCTTGAATTTCAGCCAAAGATTCCAAATACCGCTCATTCCCTGAAGACTTAAAAGGGGGAGAGAATCCCTACCCATTTTCTTAGTGATTTATTTTTTCCAAAATGGTTTTTCATTTTGGGGAATTTTCCCCTTTCTCTCAAATTCCAAATTCTTAAGCCTGGAATGCTTAATGAAATGGGGAAAATGAGGCAATCACTTAGAATTGCTAGAAAGATACAAAATGTTACTGTTTTTATGTTAAAATAAGATTTTTATAAATGTGATCTGACCCCATACTACGTACTATGCTTCATATTTTTAAATAATCATCCTAAAACTTACAGTACCTAAGACTGAAGATAAATTAAGACTTTAGTGTTGTAACAGAAAAAGTGCTGAATTATCCCTTTTCTAGTACTTTAACCATGTTGGACAAGTGCTTTCCTAGTGACAATAAAAATTTACTATATAACCTTCCACCAAGCAGAAAAGGGTCACCTGGATGAAAGACATTTAGGAGTGTAGCACCAGGTATTTACCAAATAGGAGTTGTATCACTTATTCTGAGGGGGTAAAAATATTTTAGATTGAAATTCTATTTGGCTATTGACTGTTAAAAATCCCTGCTCTACTCTGTCAGTGTCCTGTATCCAACTACCCCTGGCCCCCACCCCCACCCCCAAAACCCCTTACACACTATCCACTGAGAATCTAATCTCCAAAGAGATTTTAAAATTTATATTTTCAGGACATACCTGAGAAAGGGTGCAATTATGCAGAACAAGGAACCCAAGACTGGACTAATACTGGTTATAGATTCATAAATTTTTTTTCTCAAGACAAATCTAAAAAGTTTAAGAGGTATGGATCTTCAATGTCTTACTGCTTTACTTTTTTTTTTGTTTTTGGTATGTGTGTAGGGTCATTTCCAGTGTTGAAAGATCACCTTGAGCCTGTTCAATGACAGTTCAAGGAGTAAAGAGTTCATTTCCACATTCAAACTATAAAGATTAAATATTATGGTTACAATATTTGCTACATCCAATAAATCTATAGTTAACTAAAAGTGCTTTTTAGCTTTTATGGATACAGCTCTAAATGAACTGGAAACCTTAAAATTACCCCCCCCAATAGTTGCAGAATTAATTTTACTGTCAACATTAATTAGAGTTGATTTTCAAACACCATAAAATATTTTTCTGTCAAATAAAGGTGGCCCAACTTTAGCACATTATCTGTCCTGTGACTCATTTTTAGTGTAATAGGACTCAATCCTTAGCCTCTTCTCAAAAGTCTCATACTTGCAAATCCTATATCCCATCCATCCTCCTGTCCCCCCAATCTCCTTCAAAACCCTTAGGGTATACAGCTACGGTGTTATGCTATAGGACTAGTGCTTGCTTCTTTAAAATGGACTGCAAACTTATTTGGAATAAAAGAGAATATGCTAAGAATTTCCATTATTCTACTTTCAGTCAGCATGTGCACAAATCCTATTCAAGTGTCAAGGACAGAATTAATCCAAAATAAACTTAAAAGAAAGAGTCTGGAGGTCTGCATTCCTTGTACCACAATTATGCCTTTTCCTTTTCAGATTTTGAAAGCAATTAAATTTTTGTAAAAATCCATATGTAGCTTAAAAGTCTCCTAAATAAACTATTTGGCTAAAGCCGTCAGATTTTTAATAATACTGGCCTGCCCATAGCATTAATGAAGACCTAATTCTAATGGAAAGGTGAAAAAGATCTTTGATGCCTTCATGAAAGCCGAAATTTAACCTAGAACTTTCAATCGTCTATAAAACATTAAGTGGGGCAATTTTAACTATTGCCATATTCTATAACCAATGACAGCAACCTGAATATATAGAAAACAATGGTTCATATGAAAACAACAACAGGCATTTGGTTAAAGAATTGTAAGAGAAAAAAATGTGTTGTTTTAAATGAAATCTACTAAGATAAGAGTGTTTAAATAAAATGACACCAACTTCTCATATATCCATTGTAATGACTCCAAATAATTTCAGGTTCTGACATTGAACTGACTCACTAATGTTTTATGAAAATAACCAAATAAATCCAAACTTCACTGTTATGGGTCTATGAAATGTATGTTAATCCAAAAACTTAGAAACAGGCCTGGCACCATGTGCTTACATGGAGTAGGGGGAGAACATACAGCTTACTAGCAGCTCAAAGGTTGTCACATACTTCCTGAAGACAGAAGGTAGTTATGATATGGGCCTTAACAGGTAGTCATTTTTAATGTAATTTAGAGTTCTCTCCAGAAAATTGGGAACATCTCATTGTGCCATTTATTGTTTTGCTATCTGATTCCATATAGTTCATGTTATAGGTAAGGTAAAGTGTTGGGGTATAGAAATGCCAATTGGATGAGGTAATGATTTATGTAAGACAACCAGAGTTCTAAAGCACTTCAATATTGTAAAATAAAAGTGTACCAAATAAAGCTAATACACGCTTCACACTTGTTGAGCTTGCTCACCAGAACTGAACAGTAATTAACTTCACATAAGGACCCCTACAATCACACAAAGCCTTACTCATATTCATGATCTGCTGCAGCAAAGGTTTATCAAGCAACACCAAAACTTCAGAGTAACAACAAACTTATATTCAAAAGTATTATACACAAATATAAATTATCTTTCCTGAAAGAGAGACCTTGTCCTTCATGGTATTTGAGGAGCAGAAAAAAGTGAATAGCTCATCATAAATATGATTCAGAGTCACTTGTAAGCCTACTGAACAAACTAAATATACCACACCAGGTCAAGCTTGATGACTAGACTGTCTCAGAAATGAGAATGTAAAATACAACTAGATATCCCTCCACAGATTTAGTGTTCTCGATTTCATAGTGCTGTAGCTTATCTACTTTATAATACCAATGTTCTCTCATCAAAAACACAAGAATTTATTTTAAATATATTTCCTATCATTAGTTCAAATACTGTTATATAATTTGAGTAATGTCATCCACCTACTGGGAAAAGTCAGGAAAAAAGGCTTTCGTGACAAAGACAGTTATGAACTGCACTTTTCCACACCATAAACATGGTCAACTTGCTTGGGCCACGCAAAACTCTGATTAGCAGAAATTAAGCATGCGAATAGACCAATCTCTATTACACATTTATGAGGTCGTCCCCAAACTAGAGTATCTACACTGAAAGTGCCAATACAATATAGTGGCAAATCAAGAGAGAAATCAAATATTAAGGGATCACTACGGCATAAAGACTGACAGCCAGCCAATGTGATGAGCCACCTCCAAGAAATATATGGTATAATGGAACTCTGAACACAAAATTTAACATTAAAAGTGCACCTGAATATTACAAACTAACTTTACAAAACCTACAATAAGGTAAAATATATATCTTTTGAAATATTCAGCAGCTTTTGTTTTTTTAAAGGTTTTTTTTTTTTTGAGAGGCTCATGAAATTTAAAGGGACTGCTATCTAATTTCAACCATGCTTCACAAAACAATAATGGCTATTTTATATTGCAATTACTAACGTAATGCAATTAGTGCTTTAAAATAATCTACACTCAAAAAAGAAAAGAGAAAAACGAGAGAAAAAGAGAGACCTTTGGAGAAAATATGCTTATTAAAAAGCTTCTTGGAAAACAAAATTTACCTGAATATCAAGTCATGACTGATCTCAAGTGTAATGTTTACAAGCTTCACAGACATGAATATTACAATCTTCAGGTCTCAGGACTTTTATTAATCTGAGAAAGTTTAGAGTTTGGTTTGTTTTTTAAATTCACTTTCTAACCAAAACAAATAATAGAATTACTCAAATTTTCACTATTTACAACTCTCAGCCTACAATCTGAAATGACACAATACAAGTTCTCTTATTTAAACTGCAGCATTAAAGGGTAGGCACACCATTCTTCTGCTGCTCGATTGTCATCCACTGAAACACACATAGAAAATATTTATGTTAGTAAAATGATCACTCCATGTACACTACAATGACAAAATTTACAGACCTCAACTCATACATCACTAAAGACTACCACAAAGGATTAAACCTCTCTGAACAGTAAAACTCTACAAAAGTTCAACATTTAGGGCCAGATTTTTAAATGGGCCTTTAATATGACATCTGTCACAGAGGGGATAAAAGCAAGCACAAATAAATTTCTCAAAGAACCTTTTTGCAGCAATATTGGGCTACTGAATACCCCGAGCATTGTGCAAAAGGGCACCATGGCTGCAATTAATTATGTGTTGACCAACTGAGCATGAAACAAAGGAAGTGTTCCTTCATAAGCTTAGCCCTTTGCTTTCAGCAAACTTTCTACAACTTCCTTCAACTGCATATGAAAACCATGTATTTCGTAACGTATTTTTATTGCAACTTCCAGCTAGGCTAGAAAATACTGCAGTAATATAGTACTAGTTAACCCAAACTGCTTTCTCTGTTGAGAATAAACCAAGAGGAAATAGGCTCAGTCACCCACTGATTAAACAGCCACACAAAACAACGAAATCAAAAGAGGAACCCACACCCAGCCTATGTCAAGAATGAGCAGTGCATGTATTTTAATAACAGCAATGGTGTGCCTAACCTTTGAACACAAGTTGCTGAGGGAAAACTTATCTTTAACCTAATTTAATTAATGAGTTCAAAGTTTCTAGGTGAAAATTTATGTCTTGGGAATATTTGGACCTACTACTTTTGCTCAAAACGTTAGTATCCATTTGAAATCACCAACTGCTTGACTTTGTTTTACACAAAAAGCCAATGATTTTTGGTTTTGGTTAAGCATTTAGAAGGGCCTGACCTACCTTTCTCAGCAGATTAGAATACAGGGTATATATAGTATGGATTTTGCTTTGCATCAGTAGTAATTTTAATTTGATCACAGTAAGAGTAAATTCCATGGGCTTCACTTACCAGTTATTCTTGCAAAAACTGTAGAAAACAGACTTTCTAAACTAAATTACTGTAACTTTATAAACCCATCTCAAAAAAAAAAAAAAAAGGTCAGATGGTCTTTAAGGAGTGCTTATATAACACGATCTGAAAGGTCCTGAAATGTGTGCTAAACAACCATGAAAATCAGTTAACTATCAGAAAAAAAGTAAAGAGGGGGATATTATGTAGGATGCCGAGAAAAAAACAAAATTTCAGATCAACAAAATTAGCTAAAACGCTGAAAAACAACCCCTCTCAACTTTGTACAAGAATTTGGACTAGTTAAAAAAAGAAAGTCCAATGTGCTAAACTCTTAAATAATTTTTAGAATTGATATGCAACCTAAATTATATTAGGTTATCTTGGGATTGTTTTTCCCTCTTTTTACACAAACTTAGAGCCTTCATCAATGTAGATACTGGACAGACTATGGAGGCAGTGAAAGGTGTTGTTTTTGCTATATCCTAATTACGTACACACATTTCTTTCTCTACTTCTCTCATCCCCAATGAACAGATTCTGAACATCTTAAACTAGTTGCTGCACCAATATTCAGTTGTTAGCATATGATCAATTTTGTAAAAGGGTTGGAAAATACAAAGAACTCTAATTTGTTAAAATGAGGCATCCTCCATTGTTTTTATGTAATGTACCCTGACTGCTCCTGAGTAAGAAGGGAGCTCGTCCTCCGTGAGATAAGGCTATATCCTCACTTGTTGGTGAGACCAAATTCTACCCTTAGAAAATCTCAAATGAAATTACAGCAAAGGTAGTGTTCAAAGTAATTAACTTAAACATTTCTGAAGGTAGTACGTGCACATCTTCCACCTCCTTCCCCTCTGGGTGAGCACTAAGTAGATTGCTAATATGTTAAGTAAATTTAATAGTGAGAAGAAAATTACAAAGAGTAATTATAAATGACCCAAATAAGTATTTCTGATTGAATAATCAAATTTGTCAAATTCAAAGGTTCATGTTCTTCTCAGTGTTTTCTTTAGTTTAATCCATCCATTACTTGACTTGAAGAAAAAAAAAAATGTGAATAATTTTACAAGATGGCTTTTCCAATTTGTAATGATAAAGCTCCCAGTACGACAAAGATGATTTCTAAAAGGGGGCTTTTTTTCCTCTTCTTTCTTTAAAGCAAAGGCAAACATAAGTGGGGGAAGGGGGAAAAAAAAAAGCATGCAGGCTCTACAGGCAAGGAGTCCACTTCCATGTGTCTGTTTTCTGTGAGGTAACTCAATTCTCTTTTGTAGAGAAACATGCAAAAGGCCAAACAATATTCCGAGCCATACTGCACATGAAAATTTAAAACTATGCAACATTCAGAAGCACCTTTCACCGCTGTATACACAAGTCAATGCAAAATCTGCAAAGAAACAAGTGCCACAGTAATGAAGTTAGGTGCAAGCAATGATAGCTGAACAATGATGCAGTAGTGCTCACCCAGTTTGTACAGTAATTGGCACTCTACAGTATTCCTACTCATTTTTTGATTCATTTGCACTTTGTGCTGCCTCTCCCTGGGGATCTAATTCCATCTTTACAGAAACATCTGGCCCCTCCGACCTCATTAATTTCATCTTTTTCTTTGGAGGGTTTTTCAAAGTGCCCAGCCTCTCCTTTACTTTGTACTCCAGTGTACTGTGGGGAATCCCATAAATACTCTGAGCTTTGGAAACACTCATTTTTCCACTCATAACCACTGAGATTGCTTCCTCCAGTATCTCACTGTTGTACTGTCTGTAACGCCCTCTCTTCTTCCGAGGCTGCTTGGAACCAGGGTCTCCTTCTTGATCCGATGTGGGATATGGCTGTCCAGAGGTAGACTGCTCAGCATCTGAGCCCCAAGAATCAGGTCCAGCATCTAACATGCTTTTTCTATTTTGTTTTGGAAGAATAGCCCTTAATTTTTTACTAAGCGCGCTCTCCGTTTGTGAACCCATTACCAAAGAGCTATAGCTGTACTGATCACCAGTGCGAGACTCCCAAGAAAGATCCATTCCTCGAACTTGTGGTATCTTTAAATCTACAGGAGATGAATGGCTCACATCCTTTTTTCCATCTTGTTTTGCTTGAAGTGCCACTTTTGGAAAGGCAGAGTTTTCTGCAAGAAAAGGAAGGTCACTGATGTTGCTGAGTGCACCATTTCCCCGAAACTTCATACGGCTGAGGTTGAATTCATAATGTGGTTTTGCCCAAGAGGCTTCCCTGGATAGTATTAAGTGCTGTCCATGATTCTGTAATCCAGATGGCCCAAGGCTGGCAGCAGTGGACAATTGGTTTCTGCTCAGTAGTTCTTCACTAATCTGCAGGGATCGAGCCAGTGGAACTTTGAGTGATGTGGAGTGTCCAAAACCTTCCTTGGTTCCATCCTGTAAGCTTCTTGAAGGTACCCCATCACCACTCCGAAGTCCGTCTGGGCGGTACTGGCTGGGTCTCCCAGGTCGCCTAATTGGATGGAAGGAAACTGATGTGAGCAGGACTTGCACAGGTAGGGAGGGGTGGGTGAGGGGACCACTCCTTTATTAGAAGGCCTTGCTTGGGTAACATCACTTTGTGTTATTTATTTATTTTTCTCTAAAATTAAAAAAAAAATGATCTCAGCAGTTAGTTTTTAAACTTGTTCACAAAAAGGAAAAAGAAAAAAGAAAAAAACAGGAACTTTTTGGGCAAAGAAAAATTTTATCTGTTGGCTGGTCTCTGGTTGGGTTCACAAATTTTCGGAGAAAAAGTTTCGCGCAACTGTTTGAAAATAGCACCTTAATTATTAATTACAAAGTAATCATTAGTGTCCATAGATCTACACAGAATTGGGTTACCAATGTGACGTTACCACTAAACAAGTACAGTAATAAAAGAGTAAGCCAAATTATTTATTTTAATGCAATGTGTTCAATATTCATTACAACCAGCTATAAAACTGGCACCATTTACACTGCTGGAACCCATAGATAATTGCTCATTTATCCCATAAACAAGTTAATGTTCACCATCAAAAATCAAACAATTCCAAATAGTATTTCTTATTTTCCTTATATGGCAACCAGTCCCGTGTGTGTGTGTGTGTGTGTGTGTGTGTGTGTGTGTGTGTGTGTGTGTGTGTGTGTGTGTCTGTGTGTGTGTGTGTGTCTGTGTGTAGGGGTGTGTGTGTGTGTGTGTGTGTGTGTGTGTAGGTGTAGGTGTAGGGGGAGGGGCCAAACCAATAGAAACCAAAAGACTTGATGTATTATAACTTACCACACTTCTTCATTTTAAAACACTACTGGTTGTAAATACATGAATATCATGATTCTTCAAAATAACTTTATTTTCCACCAAAATTTTATTCCTTAAGTTCTACTAAAAGTAACTATCATTATAAGTTATAAAACAATTTTGTAGCAGTTTCCTAAGAAAAACTTCTCAAGCCATGTGGATGGCTTTGAAATAAGGTTTAAAAAGTCAAACCTCTTACACAAAGTTAGTTCGTTAAGGTTTTGAATTTCTAAAATAGAAAAAAGCTATCAATCTTAAGAATGGCAACCGGCAATGCATGCCCAAAGGAATGATCCAAACATGGAACTTTGCAGAACTACTGACAAACCAGCAATGCTCTCCAAAATTCGACAGACTGTTGTCATCATTAACACAATAAGGATCAACAGTGAATATCTGACTAAAAACTGGGCAGTTGTGCTGGTGCATCTGTCCTCTACAAAACCAAGTAGATAACACTTCCCATTCAGAAGGATAAACACAGCAACTTTTACCATCTCATACTTGGAAGACAAGTTTAAGGTGAATCTGAAACAAGGGGTTCATTTCTGCAAACTGCAGTTGGGCTTCAATGATGTCCACTCTTAATTATACAACTCAAGTGTTTCTGACATGTGAGCGGGACCCAAATGATTTGGGAACATGCTCATTTTTACCTAGTATAGGTCATAGTGAGAAGGGTCTTTAAAAAAAAAAATCAGTAAACATACAAAATGGATTAATGCTTTTAGAATGAATAGAGGAACAGATAAAAAGGAAAATGGTAGGATTTTAGAGAAAATCAAGGGGGGTATTTTAGAAGTCAGTAAAGGTAAAGAAAATTAAAAGGAAATTAGGTAAGATTAGTCCACTTAGTGTCTATTTGTTCCTTTATTATCTAAATAACTTCCCCATACTGATAGTTGAAAAGTTAAATATGTCTAAATATTAACTAATTTAAACACACCAAAGTAATATTTCATATCGAGATAAAGTTGGTTTTTAGTCACAACATAGTTTCCTAAAATGGTGTCTAAATACCTTCATTAATACGTGATTTTTGTTAAGTGCTTACTAGATACACATATGAGGATTAAACAATGCTCACACTATAACATCAGGTGGTCAGAGAATTCACTTTACTCTGCTAAGTCCCAAAGCTGAGCATGTAATAATAATGTCTTGGCATCATGAGGTGGTTATCCATCAATATTTACAGCCAGCCTTATCTATTAAAAACGAAAATACATACATTGTCTGAACTGCCACAGAGTTAAAACTGCAGTTCAAAGCAGCAACCAAACAACCAAAATCAAGCCAAGGCCAAACAGAAATGAGCACATATAACACACATGCACACAAAACCCACTAGAGATACCAAGTGAAAAACTGGAGCTCAATTTTCATTCAACAACTTTAGCACAGATGATACTGACTTTACAGCTAACCTCTGTAATTGTTTTAGCTTAGGTTTCAACTCTCATTCAGCAACAAAAAGTCCAAAGACATATTCTTGCCACATTCATGATTATTTACCGTCTGCATTAAAATTGATCTTTACTAGCCAATTCTAGATTGCACAGATACACGTTTACTTGCTCAATAGACTAAAAATCACTTTACAAAACCCACCTGTTACATTGAAGGGTTAACTTTAAAAAGAATATATACAAGGGAGACTATCTGATTCACCTCTAATGAATTATCTATATAAAATTGTGGAAGGTTACAAATGTTTTCCCTTACCCGTTCCCTTGAGTACTGGAGCAGCCTGGAGAATGGCTCAGGGAAGTGCTGCCAGCACATGGACTCTTCTTTGTGGATAAATCAAGTACACCGTCTGGAGAGACACACACACAAAAATCTGAGGATATTAAAAACTGGAGCAAATGTGAACTAATTAAAAAGTACAAAGTAGGCCTAGTCAAGTAAGCAGATAATACAGTCATATAATTGAGGTATTAACTATAAATCAAGATTTTTTTCTCCTGAAGCAACATAAATTTAGCAAAGCATGTTATATCCAATATCTCCCAGGGTTAAATATGTCATTAGTAGGGCAATAGAAAATGTAAAACATGTTACAAAAGATGCTAACATGTAGAGCTGTTGGAAACACTAGTTTACATAGCATGAAGTTCTGCACTAAACTTACTGGAATTCATTTTCTAAACTTACCTTTATTAAAGTATAAATTTTAATGTCCCACAAACTATAAAACCAATTCCTTAAGACCTCAAACTGCCTGAAACTTCAAAAGAACACGAAAACTGATATAGAAATTTTAAATATGACAATCTGATGATGAATTAGTTGTTACTGGCTTAATATATGTGCTGTACTATGGTTTGGACACATTTGCCAAAAAATGTATACTTGGGTTCAATCTTCTGAAAAAAAATGGGCAGAGCTTCAAAATATAATTGCTGAAATTTACGAAGGCAGAGTTTTTGTTTGTTAAGAAGGTATTAAAATTGGTGGCCAAGTTTTAAGGAAAGAAAGAAAAATTAAAGAGTTATACTACTAATAAGAGTCTAGAAGTATAATCTAGAAGCTAGAACAAACCCCAGATTCATGTCATTAATACACACAATTAAAAGACTTTTCCTTCAAAGATATTTTTCCCACTGTAATCCTATCTTGAAAGAAATCTCATAATCTGGACAACTTTAAAGATGCCTTACTGTTCAAAATTTAAAAAGTAAGATAATGTGCTACACCTCTGATCGTGGTTTTCAATTGGGCAGCAGAGAAGTCTTGCTACCTAGTTATGTGAAAAAGTAACTCCTTTTGAGCTGGGCGTTGGTGGCTCATGCCTATAATCCTACCTACTTAGGAGGCAGAGATCAGGGGATTATAGTTTGAAGCCAGCCCAAGCAAATAGTTCACAAGACCCTATCTTGAAAATATCCAACACGAAAAAGGGCTGGCAAATTAGCTCAAGTGGTAGAGCACCTGTCTGGCAAGCATGACGCCTTGAGCTCAAACCCCAGTGCTTCTAAAAACAGAACAAATCTAAAACAAACAAACAAAAACCCTTACAATTTGTGTCTAAGGACACTGTTTACTCCCTATTTCAGGTTGTTAGAAATAAATACGCAAATAAATTTATAAATGAAAAAGCCTTACATTCATATAGTTAACATCTTTAAAAATATAATCTTACATAACCAAGTAGTATAGTATCCTATTAGACATCTAGCCTAATTAGAGATCTGAAAAGCAAACATAGTGCTTAGAATAGTTCCAAAGGCAGTACTGCTTAGAGACTTCTGAACCAAACAGGTTAATTTGTCTAATGAAAGAAACATATTTTTAAGTCTTCCACTAAAATACTGTGATTTAAGCTGAAAACACTATAATCATTAAGGAAATACTTTTTAAAATTCTGCTCCATTTGAAGTCTGTATGCTGTAATGCTATCAGACAGTTCAAACTTCTCTTATTAAGAGCATGTTGTCAACAGAACATAACTTTTAAAAGTGAAACACTAGCTATAATAAGAAGTCAAATTAGATCAAGTGGAACCATTGTATGTTAACGTCCTTTACCAATACTCTAAGGGCTGGAGGCATGGCTCAAGTGGTAGAGCACCTGCCTAGCAAGTGTGAGGCCCTGAGTTCAAACCCCAGCACTGCCCAAAAAAAAAAAAAATTACCAATACTCTACATATGCCCTTATATTGTCATTCTCACATTATATTCTTGAGGCTTTTGATGCAATAGTTAGAGGAAAGAGAATTTTAATTAAAACTACCAATCTGTAATAAGGAAAACAATCCTAAAAAAAACAACAACAAAAAAAAAACCTCTGCAAATACAGCAACCACAGGTACACCAATAAATGTGAGGTTCCTGTCTAGGAAACTCAGAAGTTATTTTGTTTGTTCATGAGATCCAAATAAGCAAAAGGAAGAGGGAAGGAGGCATGGTTCAAATGGCAGAGTGCCTGCCTAGTAAGGATGAGGCCCTCAGTTCAAACCCCAGTACCATGAAAAATAAATAAATAAATACATTCTTTAACAACTAAAGCTAGTCCATTAAATGTAAAATCTTCAAAAAGTACTTAGAATAAGAAAATGTCCTTTCAAAGAGGGCCTTTTAGTAATTAAACTTCTCTTCCAAATGAACATATATTTATCATCAATAAGTCTACACGTCTCATTAACATTTCTGCATACTCTTAAGAAATTTCTATGACAATAAAATCTCATTGCTATAGACAATGACACAGTTGAAATCCTCACATCATGTTCGTGAAATTAAAGGTCAACTGAGATCAAAAAGAAACAGGATTATTTAAGATAATAAACTTTTCAGAGACATAAGAAACATTTGCTAAACAGAACTGATAACATCTTAACCTCTTCACTAATTTGGGTCCTAGCCAATAAATTCTCTTTTGGAAATACTTTAACGTTCACAATATAATGTATGTATATATGTATGCATTTCCATATTTATAAAACATTGAATACACTTGTCAACCAAAGGTGTGTTCTACTGTCTCCTATTTCTAACCCTGTAATTTTTTAAAAACTCCAAATAATACATATTTTCCCTTATGACCTCATTTGCAGAGTATAATTTCTACCTAATAAATACACGCATATTTCTTAGGCAGTAATTTTAGAAGCCTGAGGATAAAGGGAGAAATTCACTTTCCATAATTCCTTTAAAAATGGGTATGATATTATTTTGGCAAGTGAATATGCCTTTTATTAATATCATTTAACATAAAGAGTAGTAACAACTATAACCATCTAATTTGTACATTAATTACAGCAATGAACTGCTGATGGGTAAGACTGTAACAACTCTGTTCTTTTCTATCACACATAGTTAAAAATAATTTAAGAATTATGTTGTTGTTTTAAGAGACAAGGTCTCACTATGTTGCCCAGCCTAGTCTTGGAACCTTGTGCTCAAGTTATCCTCTAGCATCAGTCACTGGAATAGTTAGAACTACAGGCATGCGTCATCATGCCCAGGTAGAATCATATTAGTTTTTACTATTATTGCTACTGATGTCTACTTGAAAGGAACATTTTTTTTTCTCCCCAAATTAGTTTTATGATTGGTTAGAGGAGACCAGGACATCAAACCATACCTTGTTCGCTAGGTTCTGACTGAGACTTTCTGACAGTAAGGTCCAGAGGTGAGTCTTGGTCAGCCATGAGAAGTTTGCTGAGCACAGGGTTCTGAGTAGTTGCAGCCGTGGGAGAGGTGGTGACTGGAGATGCTTTCGGCAGGCTTTGGTTCTTTGTGCTATTGGGCTGGTTGGGGTCCTGAGTAGAGCTATTTTTTGAGGTATATTCAGCAGCAAATTGTTGGATCATTCGCTGCATGATCTCACGGGCCACTAGGGGAATATTAGGGTCGGAGACCCAGGGACTGTCTGTAAACAAAGATTTATTTGCTTTTAAAGTGGGACACTTTGCTTTAAAAATAAATAAATAAAAATGAAGAAAGAAAAAAACAATTTCAAGAAAACATAAAATTTCATTTTCTCTTAAAATCCCATTACCTTAAAAATAGTATTTTCCTCTTTAATTTATATTTTAATCTCTAACCTTTTGGGATGTAATTATTAAAAAATAAAATTTTTATGAAAATATTCCAAAACATCTCCCCCCAGGATCAATTAAATAAAATAAAAAGATAACACACAGTATTATCCTATGGCTAAGAATCACTTACCTGATACAGAAATCCCCAAACTCTCTCATAATTACTCTCCTACTAATGCCTACAAATCACATAAGGTTTCCCCTAGATTTTTCCTCAGCTACCTCATCCTAAATTTTTGAATGGCTTATTGAATTCATGAGTATATAATTTACTTCCTGTTAAAGACTAACAGCATAGCAAAATTGTAAAAGGAGATACCTAATTTCAAATCCATGATAGGCAAGGACAATAGTGTTGATAATCACTTTGAGGGCTTGTAAACACAGACTGCTGAGTCCTGTTCCCAGAGTTACTGATTCAGTAGTGGGCTCATGAACTGGCATTTCTAACAAGTTGCTGGTCTGGAGATCACAATTTTAATACCTCTGGGCTATGAGTTTTAAATGCTGAATCAAACAAGCTGAAAAAAGACCACACATTTGCGAGGAGTTCTAAGTACACCCTCGCAACCATTAAGAAAATAGCCAAGAAAGTAGTAAAACAAACATCTAAATTATCAAGATTTAGTCAACGTTAAGTTTAAAATAAAGACTGCATAAACTCAGTAGCTTTTAGAACTGGAATGAACCTTCAAATTCAAATGAAGAAGGGAAAATGATTTGTATAAATACAACATCCTCATATTTCTATAATGATTATACTAGTGGATCACGGAGATGGAGTTTGTCAAGTGCAGAGACTATTATCTGTTGATTTCTGTATACCTAATCTTGCCTGATCTAAAGTATTTATTCAATTTGGTTGAGTAATAAATACAACAATCCAATCAGCCACCAAACAGTGCTTTAAAAAATGAAAGAAATGTGATCTAAGGTTGTACAGATGGTTCCTGTTAAAATTCTTCTTCTGCCAGGCACTGGTGACTCATACCTGTAATCCTAGCTTTGTGGGAGGCTGAGATCAGGAAGATTTTGTTTTGAGGTCAGTCTGGGAAAATAGTTCGTGAGACCCCAAAATAACCAGAACAAAATGGACTGAAGGTATGGCTCAAGCAGTAGAACTGCTTTCCAAGTGCAAAGCCCTGAGTTGAAACCCCCATCCCATCAAATAAATAAAATAAAAAATAAATTTAATACACCCTATTCTTCTGACTTTAATATAACAACAATCCACCTGTGCCTTTGACTTCCCCTACCAACCTTCTAAGGTCTTTGTAAGATGATTCCCAAAATTCCTCTGTTTCCTTGGCCAATTTAAAGATTAGCTATGAAAGGCAAATACCCATAGTAGCTGTGAGGAATGTAAGAGATTGATTTATAAAGTTAAAGAAGAACTGACTTTTAATATTACTAAGACCTAAAATTGCCACAATAAGCAAATAAATCCTAGTAAACTTTTTTTTTTGGGGGGGGGTTACTTGTATAGAAACTCGAGGCTTTGTGTTTGCTAGACAAGCTTGAGCCACACCTCCATCCCGATTTCACAAGTTTTAATAAACATTTCAGCCATATATTGCTTGTAACATATTTCTAACCACCAGTTGAAAGTGTATCTCAAATGGTAGAGTGCTGGCCTAAAATATTTTTAACCACTGGATTTTCTTATTAGTTACTTAGCTTTCCAGTTAAGATCCATTTTCCACCAATATAGTACATAATCTCCATATGACAGATTTTACTATATTAGTGGTACTTTTTCTCCATGGAAAGTTGGAGAATATGTAATGAAGAGGAAAATTTCCAAATAGGAAGCAAAATGAAATAATTTATTAGATGTTTCTATGTTTAACTAGTATTATAAATAAACATTAAAGAACCTGCATTGAATCAAAGATTTTAAAATAAAGACTATAAACTGCTATCTTTGAACTTCAAATGTCTATAGTACATCTTGCCTCTTTGTTGACAAACAATCATGAGTCAAAATATATTCAATGTTTATGAATGATATTTTCTCTACCACGTCAATTCCTACATTGTCTGAAAATTACTGAATTACTTAAAAGAAATTCTATGAAGACAGTCACGTGCTTCAGGAAACACACACAACTGAGTCAAATACAAGCAAGTAATAAGACCACAATAAAACTAAAGAAAAATACCTAAGTGGAAAATATTAACATGAAAATGTTACAGTTTTAAAACACAAAAGTTAGTTAAACACAAATGTTTAACATAAGTGACAGGGCAAACTGTAAGTGAATGGAATTATAATTGTTGTAGAAGGTATATTTTAAATATATAATTTGCAATATTTGGGTGCAAAGGGCTAAATCCAAAATTAAAGGTTGAGCATTCCTAATCAGAAAATCTGAAATGCAAAATGCTCTGAAATCTGAATCTTTTTGAATGCTGACATGACATTCAAAAATGTGAATTTTGGGCTTAGGTTTGGATCAAGTGGTAGTGGTCTTGCCTGCAAAGCAAGAGGCCCGAAGTTCAAGCCCCAGTACCACAAAAAATAAAGTTTTAATTTAAAAATTTTAGGGATGTTCAACTGGTAAAATACATGCATAAATTGCAAAATATGAAAACTTCTAAAATCTAAAAGCATTTCAGATAAGGGAAGCTCAATCTACATTTACAAAAACTAAATGCTCTCTAAATTTTGTCATCTCCTTGGATCCTGACCATTTTTGATATTAGTTCAAAGAGTGCACATGCTCACCTTTGAGATATTACCAAGAGGATTAATAACATATATAAAAGCAAGAATATTACCATATAAAGCAAGAGCAAGGTAACTTCTAATTTCAAAGAAATAGTTCTTTTTTTGAGTATCTCATGCCAGTATAAAAACAAATATACAAATGTAAATGACATACAACTTCAGAAAATTCCTCTCTTGAAATCTATCCTGAGACCAATTCCAAGGTGTGAATTCCTCCTAAATGTTATATGCTCAAAAGTTAACAAGAACTTTAATCAAATTATTCCTCTATGAACAAAGAATGGGACTAACAGATTATACATAATCATTTTATACTCTCTGTATAATCTATATATGATCTTCTTATAATTGATCACATTAATGTACCATAAGCAACAAGTGGATGAAAAGTGGCTCTTCCATGTAAATTAGGGAGGAGTTCCTCTTTTCAGATTACAAAGCTTAGTATAGAAACATATCAGACCCACAAACCCACATACTAACAGAAGAGTGGTAAAGATACTTTATTTGGCTAATAAGCTAATAGTTTCTACCTTAAATGTTAACTACTTTAATAAAGTAATCTAATATTTATAAGACTAACAAAATGACTATTTTCAACATAATTCTGGAATTCAAGGCACTTAAGGCAATGATATAAGCAAAAGCCCAGCTATATCCACCTGTAACCAACCTTTTAGAATCAGAAATTAGCAGTCTTTTAATCAGCAGTCAAAAGGTACTGTTCAAACTTCAGAGGGATGAAGAGTATTTTCATAGGAATGAGCAGTGTAAACTAGAACATGTGAAGACAAAGAAAATGTGAACAGTGATGCTGCTGAAGATAAATAAGTACACTCAAAGAAAAAAAAAATTTTTTTTTTTTTTAAAATTAAAGACTGGCCTGGAACTCACCATTATCCTGCCTCATCCTTCTCATTTCTGGAATTAAAGACATGCTCCACAATGTTTGGTTTGCAGAAAACATTTTTAGAAACAAACATTGTAACTTACACTTTGAATTAGAGGAAAAGTGTAATGAATGGACAACTCTATTCAGAAAGAATTTCTGAAAAGAAAACACTTTGCTAGACTGGATAGTGATGGGAAGATTTCTGAAGATTGTAGTTGGTGGCAATCATGCTTCATATCTCTACAAAGAATTTCTAAATCTCAACACTTGGTTTTTGGGTTTTTTTTTTTTTTTCTTTTATTTGTTTTGTCAGTACTAGATTTTGAACTCAGGGCCTTGAGTTTGCTAGGCAGGCACTGTTCCACTTGAGCCACACCCTAAACCATTTTTTGCTTCAGATAGGGTCTCAAACCCTTCTGGATTCCTCCTGGATCATAGGCCTGTACCACATTTGCCCTCTTTATTTTTAAGAGAAAGGGAAAACAAGCCTACACAAGTTTTAAGGGAAAAGATATACTGAAAAAATATGCAACAGTGAGAGCTACTAAATGCCATATCAAATGCAAGGCAGAAATTAAAAATTTCTTTATTGTGAGTTAATTTCCCCTAATTTTTTTAATTATTTAAAAAACTAGTGAAGACTACATCAATGGACCAGGGATAAATGCTTACAAATCTAATTGTAAGACATAACTATACTTACTCTTTAAGTGAAATTTCAGGTTGAATTTAAGTTGGTATTTATAGTTATGAAAACAGTAAAAGAATTACAGAGACCTTACAATTCTCAGTGTTTCATAATTTCTGACCAATTTAACTAAAACTCATCATCACTTCAGAGCTAAAGAGTGACAAGGGGTTGCCTTATTGTGACTAAAGGTATACAGAAGCGTATAATCAATAAACAAGAAATATTTTTAGGAGTAACTTTTAAAATGACATTAAAATTAAGGAGGTTAAGACAAGCTAAGCAGATGTTAAAACATCATTCAACACTGAAACCAACCTTTTCTATAAAAGACTGCATTGAGGAACTCTTCCGCTTGTCTCTCAAATCGAATAATTTTTGCGTGTTCTTGTTTAAGCAGAGCTTCTTGCCCAGCTCCCAAAGCTGGTACATCCAGACCGACTAAGTGTCCCTGTAAAAATATTTGGTGAAATGTGTGCAACAATCCCCATTCAAAATCAAAAGCACAGATGCATAATTACAGACAAATACTGACAGCATATATAAAATATTAAAACAAACAAATATTAACAGCAAATAAGACAAATTAGTTTAATTAAAATATTTTTAAAACTTTAAATCAGGATAAAACTGGTATCTACAATAATATCAAAAGCATGTTATATTTCCTCAAATACATGTAAGTGCATTATACAGGTAAATATTATCCACATTTTCACTTGTGAGTTTTGTCCAAAGTTTACAAGTAAACTAAACTATTAACTAAGAAAATTTTTTCCTTGAACATCTTAATATTTGGCTTTACTATACTTAAGCAAGTTTACAGACAAATCAATTTAGACAATGCGTTTTTTAAAATAAAAAAATTTAATCTCAAATCTCATTTGACAATGTTTGCCCTCCTAGCACGAGACCTCTTTTCTCCAGACATAAAACACAAACATTTTAAATGGGTTGCCAGGAAAGAAAGCTCACACATGTGATAATAATTCTGCTCCCAGATAACTTTTAATAAATAGTGGCTCTCAAATCTTCAATAGCTTGTGAAATTAATAAATCAGAAAACCAGCACTAGGAAATAACATGTATTGCACGTTCTAAATGTGTATCAGTACCTTTTGCTACATTATATATGTGCTTGAAACATATTTGGAATATAAAAACCTGGACCAAAAGTTTCTGATTGAGAAAGTTACAAAATGTTGTACCTACACTAATTCCAGAGACTCCCAATGCCCACTCCCAGACTTCTAGTGCACTGGACTAAGTTGACAATGCTTTACTTCCAGTCCTACATCTATTAAGTAAACAGGAGACTATAATAGAAAACGGCAGTGGAAAGAAAGAACATGTTTTAAATGTTCTTTATGTCCCAGTGCATTGAATTTACCTCAAATCACTACAATGTATAAATTCACACATTCACTTTCATCATGGAATACTTAAAAGGGCTCTAAATAAGAACAGAGGACATACTTTGGCACAATGGAAAAAAATTATGCAAGAATCAAAAGCATATTATAATCCAAAAATTTCCTCAAAGATTTAAAATACACTGTTACTTGGTACCACTTCTTATGATTTCCCCCACTACCTGAGTTTTGCCACACAGCACAAATATATAATCAAATATGTGTTACAGTTTAACTCGCATACTCAAAGTAAAACAATTATCCTTTAATATTTATTTGAGAGTAAATTTATGTAATTTGTTAAAATATTTTTTGAAGAATTGAGAACCTTTATTATTATTATCAGCCAACATTCTTGTCTATAAGCTAAAGAAATTATTAAAACAATTTTAAAAAGAATCATAAACAATGTCACTTTGACACAGATTTAACATCTACAAGTATCAGGAAGCAACATCAATTAAAAGAATCAAATAAAATGCTCTACTGTATTATACTTTAGGACTATTTCATTCTTTAGTGATTTTGAAAAAGCAGACATTATATGGCATAAACTGTACTTTATTTCATTCCTTAAACTGTACATTTGATCTGTTCAAATCAGTTACTGAACAAGTTATCTACATAGAATTTTGTTTAATGCCTTATTTGGGATAGCTTATAATCTAAATCAACACAACTGACCAACTACCCAAGCACTGACAAGGCAAGTGCTAAATGCTTCCTTGAATCAAACAATTATCAATGGTAATAACCTGAATTCTGAAATGTACAGATCTCTTTTTACTTGGTTCACACTGATCATAGTCATACGTATTTGTTTTGCTTTTAAACGAAATGCAATGGATTTATTTACTACCACAACAATCTAATTTTAAATCCTTTGGGATGGCAGCAGCAATACTAGGGTCTCAAAAAAGAGCCTCATGCTTTGTTAGGCAGGTGCTCTACCACTTCAGCCATGCCTCCGGCCCTTTTTGCTTTGGGTATTTTTGATGATGGGTCTCATGTTTATGCCCAGGTTGGCATGGAATGTGATTCTCCTATTAGCTGGGATGACAGGAAAATACTATTAACACTGAACTTTTCTGTTCATTGAGTGAGCTGGGGTCTAGATAACTTTTTGCACAGGCTGCCTTCAAATCACAATCCTCCTGATTCCACCCTCCTGAGTAGCTAGGATTATAGGCAACAGCCACTGTACCTGGGCTAATTTTAGACATTTTTGGGGGGGGAGGGAGGAATCCTGATAATTGAACTCAGACCTCATATTTGAAAGGCAAGTACTCTACCACTTGAGTCACAACCCCAGCCCTTCATGTTTTAGTTTGGTTTTGATAGGGTTTCATGCTTTTGCCTGGGCTTCCCAAATACCTGAGATTACAGGCTTATACCACCATGCCCAGCCTAATTTGAGAACATTTTCATAGCCAAAAAAGATTAATACTCAATCTCCATTTGTCTTGTTGGATCCAACTTGAAATAATCATTATACTACTTTTTGTCTATATATGCCTACAGAGGATAGTTCATCTGAATGTAATCATACACGTTTTTCTGGTATTTTTTCCACCTATAATAATGATTTCAAAGTTTATCCACATTACAGCATGTACCAGTACTTCCTTTTATTGCCAAATAAACATTCCCATTATGTGTGATATAACACACTTATCCAATCATCAGATTATGAATACTTGGGCTATTCCCACTTTTTGGACTATTACATGAATTATATTGTTTTTATGCAGATGTATATTTTAATCTTCTTGGATATATGCTAAGAATGGAACTTCTCAGATTGTATGTTAACTATGTTTAACATTTTGAGGTGTCAAAACATTTTCCTAAGCAGCTGCACTGCTTTATGTCACAACAAGCAATGTACTAAATTTCCAATTTCTCCACATACTCATGAATGCTTACATTTTTTATTCCATCCGTCCTAGTATCTTGTGGTTTAGGTTTGTGCTTTCCTAATGGCTAACGATGTTAACCTTCTTCTCCTGTGCTTATTGGCTACTTGAACACCTTCTCTGGAGAAATGTCCATTAAGATCCTTTGCTAACTTCTGAATTGGGCTATTTACCTTTTTATTATTAAGTTGTAAGAATTCTTGATATATCTGGTACACGTTCATTATTGGGTATATGATTTGAAAATTTTCTCCCACTCTGTGAGTTTTCTCATTTCATGGATGGCACTGTAAGCAACAAGAAAGTTGTGTGTTTTGTTTTTTTATAAGCAGATTGTTTATGCAGTAGTAACAAGAAAGTCTTGAATTTATCTGCTACTCATGTTTTTGGTGTCTAAAAACTCTGGCTATCTTAAAAATCATTTAGAGTTTTACAGTTTTTAAAAAATTTTTAGATCTATGACTCATGTTTTGCTACCACATTGTTTTTTGGGGTAAGGGGAAGTGTCATACTGGGGTTTAAACTAATTTCCTCCATCTAACTCCCACACATTTGTAAAATACCTTACATTTCCTGTTACTGATTTGAAATTTAATTCTGTTGTGATAGGAAAACATACTTGTATGACTATAATCTTTTAATAAAATTTATTGTTTTATGTTGGCTGAGGACATAGCCTTCCGTGATACAGTGCTTGCCTAACACATGGGAAGCACTTGGAAAAAACTGCCTATGGCATAGGATATGACCTATCCTGGAGGATGATTCACATGTAATTAGTAATAAGTATTTTTGCTTTGTTGTGACATCCTTGTGTTTGTTGAGACTAGTTGATTCATATATTATTCAGTTTTCATCTTTTATTTTAAGACAAAGTCTTGTTATGTAGCCCCACTTGTCTTGAACTTGCAATCTTCTACCTCCTGAGTACTGGGAATAGATACATGTACAACCATGCTCAGTAAAGTCTTCCATATCTTTGATGATATTCTGTCTAGATGTTCTACCCCCCATCTCACAGGAAGTAGGGTACTGGAATGTCTACCTATTAGTATTGAATTCCTTCACCCCTTCAATTCTGTCAGATTTTGTTTCATGCATTTAGGGGCAGGGGTACTGTTAGGTACATAAATGATCATGTCTTCCTGATGGATTGGCTCTTTTAGCATTAGGAAATATGCTTCTTTATCTCTACTTCATGGACATTTATTTTCCCCAGAAATATATAGCCTTTTTATATTGATTTTTGATACAAGGTCTTATTGTATAGCTCAGGTTCGTCTAGAACTTGCAATTCTCCTACCTCAGTATCTGGCGTGCTGGGATAAATATCACCATGCCCAGCTCAATGAATGTAGCTTTTTTTTTTTGTTTTTGAGAGGGTTTCACTATGTAGTCCAGGGTGGCCTCAAACTGGCTATTCAGGATCCTGCCCTGGCTGCCTCAGTGCTGGAACTACAAGCATTTTCCATCACAATCGGCTAGTAAGTAGCTCTTAATATCAATTCTTGGAGGGTGCTGTCTTGACCATGCACAGTCTCCCTATTAAGTCTGGACAGTCTCTTTCTCTACTCCTCCTTTAAACTTGAGCAGATTTATGTATAATGGTGTCACAAAACCACCTGTTAGCCTCCACTAAATACTAACTGACTGTTCTACAGTTTATGCCACATCCAAGGCATTGCTCTGTCTGATCCATTAAAAGAAGGGGTCCCTTTATTTGGGTAAGCTGTTACCAATATTGGAATCTTGCTCTAATTCCAGGAAGGTTTTTTCTAGATCTTTCAAACTTTTAATAGTTCTGTCATTTCTCTTGTTGCTACTAACATGGAGCTTCCTCCTAAGTATTCAGCACAAAGACATTGTTTTTAACAACACATTTAGGCATGAGCTTTCCAAGTTATGTCCTAAATAGTTCTCCTAGGGAGAGCAGTAGAGTTCTTGGTTCAAGAACCTGAGTCACTACTTAGGAAATAGTGCTGGACAGTTCCTAGTTCAAGACCATTTCTAGTCTCTCAGAATGACATCTATGCTCTATGAGCAGAGTACTGGATAAGGATGGGAAAGTCTGCATTCATATTAAATTGTCCCTCTTAGCATGGAACCTCTGCCCTGGGAATGAGAAGGACTGGAATTATCCAGCCCAGTATTCTCAGTCTGCTATGCCTAGAATAAATTTCCACTGAGGGAAGAATAAACAGAATAAATTTCTATTAACTGAGGGAAGAGATACAGTCTCTTAACCACATGTCTGGAAGAAAGCATCTGCAGCAAAATGTAAGAGGGCTTGCATGGGATACCTACGACCTGCCCCTTCTGCTCAAAGTAAACTTCCTTCAAGCTGAGCTGAGGAAGTGGGTCAGAAAGGATCACATGGCCCAGACACCACAGACTCTTGTTATTAATACTGAAATTCAGTATATAGCTAATCAATTTATTATATGCCCTTAAGATAATTATTTCCAGACTTTATATGGTTGTTTTAAAATTATTTTCACTAACCACATTATTTTCAAAAACCACACATAAGCATATACTTTTATCAACTGCACCTGTATGCAGTTAAAAATTTATACTAATGCTGTATCAGTAAAATAAGGCTTATATTCCATACTGTACAAACATATACGAAAGTAAAATTAATTAATTAAGAACAAAAACTTTATATGATCTATAGCCAATGCCAGGAGATAAGTTTAAAAAAAAAACAAACAAACAAAGAGTGCCATCTCTCCTCCATATCTGAATTCCAAATGGGTGGGTTATGTATGGTGTGGCAAAGAGTAACAAAAACATGTGACATACTATTCTGTAACTCGAAAGTCATTGTTCTTTTTGCATTTTATCTCCTGAATTATTAAAGAAACCATCAGCTTAAAACTAAACATGAACAAAGTCAGATCTGAACTGGAATTTCCTAGGAGTTGCTTCCTTTAGGATGCAGAACTACTTATCTTTAGTTTGTACCCAGAGGTGATTGTGTCATATCTAAATCTGCTGAGAATTCAGGCATCAGAGGCTCACATCTGTAATCCTAGGACTATGGTTGCAGGCCAGATCAGTCAAAAAAGTTTGTGAGACCCCATCCCAATGGAAGAAAGCTAGGCATGGTGGTTTCAGTCTGCCATCCCAGCAACAATGCAAAGTGTAAAACAGGAGGATTGTGGTCCAAGTGGTAGAGTGCCTGCCCAAGCAAGTGCAAAGCCCTAAGTTCAAACCCAGTACAACAACAATAAGATACAGAGGAAGTAAACTTGTTCAAAGTATACTGTATAGATTTATGGAATTATCACAATGAAGATACCTTGTACTACTATTAATGTATGCTAATAAATTTTAAATAACCAAATTCTGAGAATTTAAAAGCATATAGATTATACACACACAGCATATGTATGTATCAACCCTACAGATTTGATTCTGTATTTCTAGGGTAAGTAACAGTCATGTTTTTCTAAAGCTCTCTCCTTAACAAACTACTGAAAAGAAATGGGAGAGGGGCAAAGGCAAAAGGGATTATAGTTTTTGTTCCTTAGTTACAGAGATAGCAACATTAACCTAAAGGGTTGCCTGCATTCTCTATGCTATTTATTTCTGACTTAAATTCCACAACACAAAAACAATATATATTTTTTTTCACCTAGGAAACCAAAGATTACTAAATCAATTACCATCTTATTTTTAATGTTTTAATCTAGATCTCTTTTTTTTTTTAAGGTGGTATTATGGTTTGAACTCAGAGCTTTGTGCTTGTTAGGTAGGCACTCAAGCAGCCTGAGCCATGCTTCCATCCCTGATCTAGGTTAATCTTCAAAATCACTTAATTTTTTTTCTACAATAGGTAGGAGTTGTCATATTTAGAATTAAATCTTGCAAAGCTGTGAAATTTAGGAAGGTGACATAATTCTTTCTCCCTAAGAAAACACGCCAAGGAGAAAAAAGCTGTAAAACTGCAAACTTAAAAGAAACTAAAGTTGTAAGTTGTTTAAAGTGACTGAAAAATCTAGGTATACTTTTGTTGTCTTTTAATCTATTCAGATAAGAGTCTTCCCATCTTTAAATTGAAACCAACTCAATTTCAAAGTAGCTCAAATATTTTAAAGTCAAGATCTTGCTATGTAGCCTAGGGTGGTCTTGAATTGGCAATCCTCCTGGCTCAATCTCCTGAGTGCTGGGATTACAGATGTGTACCACCATACCTGGAAGCAGCGGAACTTTGTGCTTTTATAAATAATGCTCATTTTTCACATGTATTAGAAAACCTTGAGAACAGTTACCTTCTATGGAAAGCTTCCAAGAAAGAGTAAAAACCTGTAGTCTAAACAATTCCAAATAAAAACTGCTAATAATGTAATGCATTTCCCTTAAGCCTTTAAAAATATATATGTAAATATATTAATTCAAAAAAATTAAACCAGATTTATGCTATAGATTTTTATCCATTTCTCAGTATCAGGAACATTTTCATTTTTAAATTCTTCAAAAGCACCTATTTTACTGAATGTACCAAAATCTAACCATAATCTGAACTCAAGCCAGGTTTTGCTTTGGGGGGGTCTACTATAAATTGTGTTTTAATGAATTTATTTCAGATTCCCATTATTTCCTTAGGCTAAATTATCAGAAGAAAAAGCACAGATCAAAAGAAACATTTTTTTCCTGAAAAATAGTCCCTAACTTTTTTCCAACAAAAAGTTACACAAAATTTATACTTCCGGTAGCAGTGTTTTAAATCCACTCTTGCAAACACAGGATTTTATTGGAGAAAAATTTTTCTTTTGAAGGAGGGCACTGGGTACTGGCCTAACTCCATTTTGTTCCTCGCTGCTGCCTTTAAGCCTTTTTGTCTTTACTCTTTCCCACTGCATACTGCCTGTACCTCTCCCACTCTGGGATTCCAGAAAGGACAGGATTTTCATTGATCCTTGTGACAAAAGCTAAAACTGTTTGTTGAGATGGGATCCTGCTTTTGGCCCAGACTGACCTCAAAACACTATCCTCCTAAGCAGCCACCTAAGTAGCTGGGGTTGCAGGCATGAGCCATTACTCCTGGCTGAAAGAACTATGTATTTCTAATAATTCTTAGCACATGGGAGACAAATCCCCACTACTCATTGTTTATAGTTTTTAAAATGTCCTGGCCATTCTAGCTTTATTCTTTTAATATATTTGAAATCACTTAGTGAATTCTGCTCCCCTCAACCTTCACCCGTTCCCTAAAGAAGATACGCTTTTTATCAGAATAGCATCATTATGCCTAGAAATTCTAGAATAAGTAACAGCTTTA